CGTTTGATGAATATTCCAACCGGAAGAAATTACATTTTTCATTCGTGGTCACATATGTCCTATCGACTTGTCGTACGAATCTATGAATGAAAGCAACTGTGTATTTACAAGATTGACGAGTATGATGGATGTGTATGATGAAATAAATGGTGTTTCACTGTAAGATGATTTTAATACTACTAATGCATGTTGCATACAACTTGTAATTCACACGACCAACAATTCTTTGACAATTGTTCAATCAAAATAATTGATGAATCAGATGTTCGTTAGTCATGTGCTCATATTGGTTGTCTAAAATCTCCCTCCCTCCTACTTTTATCAACGTGAACATGTCTGTGTAATATAGATGTGCATTCAGGTACTCACTATTTTCAAAGTGAATCGGTATTTTCTTGAATGTAGTTCTCAGTGTGTACGTGTTACGAGTTACGAGTTACTTGTATAATTTTCATGACGAAAGTAATTCGTTTGATGGTTGAGACACAGAATTAGTAGACTAACGCGAATGTGTAATGGAGACAATTAGAATTGATTGTTCATGTGGGTGTTGTATTCAGCATAACAACTAATCATTCTCTATTTGTGAATGTGCATCCAGTGAGGATGTGTCGAAATAGTCGTTTGATTAGACGTTCTCATGTATTTGTACTATTGGTAATTGTGCTATTGATGATGCACGTATTAACAGTGTTCCATGAGATATGCACTGAAATCGGTGCCCAAACACAATCAAGTGATGCATCACAGAAAGAGAAAAACATCTATTATTATTATTATTATTATTATTATTATTATGCAAATATGTATGTGTTTGAATCAACGTAACACTTGAAATTGTTTTGTCGATTGAGAATGAAGAGAAAGGAGACTAATTTTCGAAAATTGAATCCATTAAAAGCTTTTATTTCACTAAAGTGTCTCAAGTGGAGTGTTTGATTCTCTGCGTAAATCAAGTGGAGAGTGTAAATGATAAACAATTGCGTAAATGAATTGTGGTAATGAAATTGTATAATTTGGTAGAATGGGAGGACTGAGGTGGAGGGGTAGGTAGGAACAAGAGTTTGTGGTACAATTAGAGACAATTCATAATTTTTATGAATCTCAACGACTAATTAATAAATATGTGGATATAATTCTGGTGAATGCTGTCTGTTCCACAACTGTAAACATGTATCTTCTTCAAAATGACGTCTTTTCAATGATCATATCAGTTGATGCATAACGAAATAAAGAAAATTCTACTCATTTGTAATTTTGCCTCATGGTTATTCTACATGGCGAGCAATAATTTAACCGATCGGAATGTGTAAGACATGTGGAACTAATTGTTACTCTAATCGTCTATGACATGTAATCAGATTTTGGAAAGGGAATATTACATAATTTGGTCGATTTGTTGTAACTGTCGGTTGTATATCGTTAATTGTATGATGTGATAAATGTGTTGAGAAAGTGATGTATGAATTAACTGATGCTGAATACTACTCAGTTCGATTTATACAAATGTGAGTATTAATGTGACTGTGAATAAATCATGTGAAAATGGTGACTTATTTGTGTATAAGTTCGACTTAATTTTTGGGTGCGAATTGTTTGTTTTCGATATTTACTTCAGTTTTTCTTTGGAAGAAAAATCGCTAAATAATCTGGGTTCTTTTGCTTTTGAAATCCGCGATATATCAGCCATTTTTGTATGATACATGTCTTTAATTTATTAATATTAAATTGATGTTTAATGTGAAGTGTAAGAGAAATTATTTGAATTTACGTTTATAAACAATCTTATAGATGAGTAGAATGAGCCAATGTACTCGTTTATTTTCTAGTACATATCTTAATCAATAACTAGTTCACTAAAAATAGGTTAAGCGTTCGCTAGGGAGACTGATAGGTACTGGGCTTGGACCTATCAGGTCGGGATGGTTGATGAGTGCGGATGAAGTGTCCTACTATAGGACGAAACGGCTGTCCAGTGATTCCAGGTTTTCCATGATGGCCTAACTTCAATTAACTTATGATCTCAAATTTTAAATTAAAAGTAAATCTTATAAATGATAGAATTACAACATACAATTACGATAAGAATTTATACAATGAATACTAACAGGTTATATTTCAATGATTGTGTAGATTGTAGTTTTAAATCACGGACTAAGTTTAGTTAAACAGTTGTTGGAAACTAGGAATTCTTAGATTGTTGTTTTATCTTAGTATGTTCCTCATTCATGATTGTACTTATTCATCACACTACGATGGATCGAACGAAGGACCTTCATGCGTCATGAAAAATGTTTAAACTTTAGACCATTCACTATTATAGGGGTTGTGGAGATTATTAAGTTTTTGATTGAGATCACGAACCGACTGATGTTAGACCACCTTTGGAAAGCTGGAAGCACTGGACGACCGTTTCGTCCTATTGTGGGACTCCTCAGCAGTGCGCATCCACGATCCCGATTGCGTGATTCGAACTCAGGGCCTTCGGTCTCGCACGCGAACGCTTAGCCTACTGGACCACTGAACGGGTATCCTATGGTGATAGTGTCTAACATCAACCAATGCACAAAATTGCGCGACCACTTTCCATTGTAGTGAGGTAGATACCTGTCTCTACCCGACATGGATTGGCTCCACTGGTCACGGCTTCCCACTAGAACTCCGAGAATTCCCTCACGAAGCTAATCACTAGTGAGCACATGTTAATTACTAGTATAGGGGTTGTGGAGACCATTCAGCTGACATCAATGTCGTAGTTGGAACTTGTCTGATTCAGTTATGAAAGTTAAACAAAGTACTTTTCGGTGACTTAAATTCTGAAAATATTTTTTTAGCAAACAAATTTCAACAAACAAAAATAATTCTATTTCATTCATTAAAGTTGTAGTCAGTGAACAAATCCTCTCAGTAAAATTGCATATCGACTGTTAAGTGATAATGAAAACTCTAATCTTAATGATTTAGAATCAAATCTCTTAGAGTGCATTGATTCCTTGAAGATTCTACGTACATCTTACTGACTAGTATTGACTTGCATGGCATGTAGGTCGAGTAACATTAAAACATATCCTACGATATTGAATCATTTAGACTTGTGGCTACATTCCAACTTGGTCAATAGAATTCAGTCGTTACTAAGTCAGACTAAGCAAATATGACATTGGACACTGCTGAGCAATCAGTCAATGTAAGTGCCCAGTTTGAATCACTATATAAATTTATCTACACAACCGTTTTAATGATCAAGTCCAAAACTTGGAGACCTTATTAAAACAAAAGAACCAGTGGACGTACTTCAACTAGCATGGAGCTTAAGTCGAACAGTAATTTCTATCACCTACATCCAGTCACTGAAGGTCAGTACATATTTCCTATTTCAGTAAACTCATGATACTCTACGATCATTATAATGGATATATTTGTATCACTACTGACGCAGTAAGTATCCATTAATCACTACTTCCCTAAATCAGTTACTGTTAAATAAATTATTAATTCTATTATTATTTTCAATAAAATAGGATGAGAATCCCAAATTACATCTAATCCATTGATTGCTAGTTTTAGTGACTTGAAGAAACACTGATTTGACAATGATGACTTGAACTAAATGCTGATTATTACTATTAAGACAGTTGTTTGCTATCACTTTGTAACCCGTCTATCTACATGCTAATTTATGACAACAGCATGAGACTACTTGACTAACACAAGGACGAACAAAACAGGTTTCTTAAGTAGATTGATTTTTGCACCAACCATTGATTAAACAACATCCATAGTACTAATTATAATTAACTACATAACATTATATGTGAAAATTATATTTGAAATATTCTCAGCGATTGAAATTTAACTAATTCCAACGTTTCGTCCAGCTAACCTGTCTGGACTTCTTCAGGGTAATAATCAAAATCAAAATTATCAAAGAAATATATAGCTTTTAACAATCAGGATTATACTGTGTTAAACCAATCATATTTGGGTGTTGATTTTTTGTAAAATAGGATAAAATGAGTCAGCTGACTACAAATCATGTGATGAATCCAACTACATGGAAATACTTAACTGAGTAACAACAGACGGAAAATAGATCTAACACAAATGATATGAATAAAATAATTGTTAATTTATCGGATAGACCTCTCAACCCACATGAAATATCATTACTCAAAAAGGGTCTCAACTTCAATATAAATAGACATAAATTAACACCTTTCAATGTTATACCAACAGTAGAACCAGCGCTGAATATACTCCCGAATGATACAGCGAATGAACTGAGGAATAAAATAATGAACACATTATTACATCAGAAACCTCACAACCCTAACATAAATAAAAATGAATATTACGCATTAAAACAGCTGAGAGAGGACAAAACGATCATAATAACGAGAGCAGATAAAGGTAATACTACAGTTATTATGAATAAAACAGAGTATGAGAAGAAAGCCAAAGAACATCTACAAGAGGGTCCATATGAACAAATCAAAGAAGCGAAAAGTAGAACAACTCTTAATAAACTCAAGGCGCAAACTAGCAAACTCTTACAGTCATTAAAAGCTAAGCTAGGATCGTCCTTATGGTTTATGTTATATCCAAAGAGTTGTAATCCATGCAGATTTTATGGGCTACCAAAGATCCACAAGAATAATACTCCACTAAGACCAGTGGTAGACTATACAAATTCACCGACTTACAATCTAGCTAAATATTTAGCTAAGATTCTCAAACCATATGAAAAACGATTAATCATGGAATTAAAAACTCTATGGAATTCAAGAATTTAATTGATACCATCGATATAGAAGAGGACGAAATAATGGCAAGTTTTGATGTATCTTCCTTATTCACTAATGTACCTATCAGTCGAGCTATGGATATTATCAATGATTATTTAGAATCTGATTTAGATTTGAATTTACGATGCCCATTAGATCCATCAGAGGTTATAAAATGCTTAGAATTATGTTTAAGATCTACCTTATTCATATTTCGAGGTCAACTTTACAGACAGAAAGAGGGTATAGCAATGGGCTCACCAGTTTCTCCGATTGTAGCGAATTTATTCATGCATTCCCTAGAAACTAGTGCAATCGCAAAGAGTTTATGTCCACCAAAGTTATGGTTAAGGTATGTAGACGATATTTTTATTATCAATAAACGGGATGGTATGGAAGAACTATTTAACAATGCAAACAGCATTTCTGAAAACATTAAACTAACTAAGGAATTAGAATCAGTTGACCACAAACTAGCATTTCTAGATTGTCTGGTTGAACGTCGACACAATAATAAGAAGTTAAAAATAAATGTTTACAGAAAATCAACGCATTCCGAGAGATACTTGGATTTTAATTCAGCCCATTCACAGAGCACGAAAATTAATGTGGTAAAAAATCTAATGAACAGAAGTACTAAGATTGTTACAGACAAGGAAGACCAACGAACCGAATTAAATAAAGTATTTTCTACTCTTAGGGATAACAACTACCCAAAAAGGTTTTTAAAAAAGATTATTAAAAATGAAAGAAAAACTAAACTAGAAAGTATACGAAAAGAATGGAAGTACACCGTAGTCATACCTTACCGGAGTGAAACATCAGAAGAAATCAAACGGATTCTAAACAAACATGATATAAGAGTGTATTTTAGAGCAAATAACACATTAAGATCGACATTGGTGAAAGTTAAGGACAAGTTAGCAAAGGAAGAACAACAGAACATTGTGTATGAGATTCACTGTCATGACTGTAATGCTACCTATGTTGGAGAAACATCCAGGCAATTAAATGTAAGATTGAAGGAACACAAACAATGCTTGAAAAATGTTCCAAAATCCTCGGTAGATTTAAAGAAACTTGAAAATAAGTCAGCGATAGCGTTACATGCGTTAGAAACAGGACACAAGATTAATTTTGAAGGGACCAAAATACTTCAGAAAGGTTTTAACACCCATAAAGAAAGATTGACAGCAGAAGCTCTGCATATATGGGCGAACAAGAACAGCCTGAACCGAAAAGATGGTATTCAAATGGCAACTACCTGGCAAATTTCGTTTGACAAGTAAATTTGGAACCTATCTCTTGTTTAAACCTGTTTTTAATATCACATGCATCGTTATTATTATTGAAAGAACTGAATGAGTTTTTAAACAATACAATTTATGTTTTGACATGCACATCGATCTTTCATTATCAAGTTTTCATCCTTGAACTTGAACTTTATTTATTCCTTCATATCAATCTCTCACACATACATACATACCTACACACTCACACACATACGATTTGTTACTCAGTTAAGTATTTCCATGTAGTTGAATTCATCACATGATTTGTAGTTAACTGACTCATTTTATCCTATTTTACAAAAAATCAACATCCAAATATGATTGGTTTAACACAGTATAATCCTGATTGTTAAAAGCTATATATTTCTTTGATAATTTTGATTTTGATTATTACCCTGAAGAAGTCCAGACAAGTTAGCTGGACGAAACGTTGGAATTAGTTAAATTTCAATCGCTGAGAATATTTCAAATATAATTTTCACATATAATGACTTCTCTATACTCGGCGCTCAATTACTGTCAAACTATTCGTTCTAATCTTGACGAATATTCGTATAACTACATAACATTTTAAATGTATAATATAATTCATCACTGAATTAGTTATTTGTTTTATTCTTAACACTAGTTTTCATTGATATTTTATTGTTTGTTTGAATCTTACCATTGGTGTTTAAGACTACAATTGATCAATCTCTTATGGGCATCTGTGCATCCTGTACGGATTGCTTCGATATTGCCTGATGTCACAAGCATTGTAAGCAAAGATAGATAGTGGCTAGCAATGGAATCCAGGACGCGCGTTTAGTCTGTTTAGGATCCAGTAGCTAAGTGAATAACGTGATGGCGTTTAGAGTGAACAGTACTTGGTTCAAGTCTCGGAGTGAACATTAACTATGGCATGCTGGTACATCCAGTTTATAAGTTTCAAATAGGAGGAAATGCGCATCCTGGATTCCAATGATAGCCACTATCCATCTTAAATAGTTTCCATTATTCCATCTTCAACTAACATCATCTTCATGATAAACAAAATCTCTTTTAAAATGAAGTAATTTATTCGAATCCTTTAGCTTGTCATAAATTTATTTAAAAATGATAATCATTAATATATAGGCTAAAAATGTACTGTTCTATTGTTAGTCACTTTTCTATTTCATTCAAAAATGTTACCCTATGAAGTAGAAATACATAGTTGTTCTAATTCATTTAATCTACCCATGAATTGTCATTATTTGACGTTGTGTTACTAGACATAACTTCAAAAATACGAAACATATACTACTTATGATTATTAAGTAGTATTCACTGTCTGGTTGCTATGCTGTATTATTTACATTACTTAATTTTTGAACGAAAAAAACAAACAAAACAAATTTAAGCAATTCCATAATAAACTGATTTTTCTAACAAAGACAGTAACACTTCATTGAATTAGCAGTAAATCTCATAGTATACAATTGATAACTATATATTGTTGCTTGATGTATGTAAATCAGTACAAAAATCAATATCATTCTGCACCAACTTTTTACAATTTTCATCAATTCACTGTTAATCAATCACACTAAAAAAGTAATCTCTTTATTTTTTTTCTTCTATTATTTCATTTAATTACACTTACCTTCTTATGTAATAGGATTATAATATTGAATTACTAAAATAGTGACTAACTTGAAATAAGATTACATAATATTAATATAGACTGTTCTCTAGTAACCTTTCAGTAATCTAATCACTGAGACATGATAGATATTTGAATAGAAAATTAATCTATTATGAAGTGTTTCCTTTCAAACCGATACCTATCTTACATCTGTTATACTTATTTACTGTACTGTATAATATAACATTCAAGTCTATTCAAGTTATGGATGATAGTAAAAGATTAACGAGACAAATCGGCACAACATGGAAATAAATATTTTTATACAAACACATTCCTATGTAAATATAAACATACCAATTATTGATTTAATCAAAATGAGTCAACAATAATAACAAATGTAACTTAGAACTCAACAGTTGTCATGACAACTAATTTGAAATAATAAGGATAATGTTTAATTAGTCTAAATATCATGTGTACATATAAAATGCATTTTTAACTAGTATTGTACATGGTTACTAAAACTATCCTCTTAATTTTTAGTTTTATTTCTTCCCTTTTTATTAAAATGACATGTAAACATTTCCAACAACAACAACAAGAAAACTGACTTAAAAAAGAAGTCATAATAAAAGAATAATAATAATAATAAACAAAACAAAACAATGCTTGTAAATTAAGGCGATATCGAGGCATACGCACAGTATGCACATATGCCAATAAGAGACTGATCAATTTCAGTCCTAAAAATCAATGGGAAGATTCAAGTAAAACAATATCAAGTGAATTATACTTCACCCCATTGCAAAAGCAAGTGGCTATCAGGACTCAGTAGCTAAGTAGATAACGCGATGGCGTTTGAAGCGAACAGTACTGAGTTCGAGCGCCAGAGTGAACATCATCCAGCTGACGAGTCCCAAATAGGACGGAACGCGCGTCCTGGATTCCACTGCTAGCCACTATCCATCTTTGCTTAAAATAAATACATGTTTAAAAAAGAATTGTGTTCAACCTTTATTGATTTTTTTCTTTTGAATTCAATCATCTTTAAAAAAAATTTTTCTGTTTACAATTTTAACATAAAAATAGTAATATCCGAAAAAAATATTTCTATATTATTCTCTTTTCTATTGTCCCCCTTTTGGGGGGTTATTAAAAATCATTAATCCAATCGGTAACTACTTTTTATCGGCTTATTTATATAAAAAAATATCCTTTTTAATTGAATATTGAATAATGTTAAATGTTTCAATGTTCAATTATTTCTATCTATCAGCTTGTTTTTTTCTTGTTTTTGAAAAGTAAATGTAAACATTTGTTAATTAAAAGAAAACAGTTGTGAATAAAATGTTTTCTTTTGATAGTAACAATTATAATAATAAGATAGCTAAAATCTTAAATTGTAATAAATAATATCTTCTTGTATAAACAACAACTTATTATTGTTATTATCAGAAGGGGGTTTTGTAGAGATTTTAGTAATTTTTATAGTTGAATTTATAAGTAAATTGAAGCTAGACCATCATGGAAAACCCGGAAGCATTGGATAAATGATTCGTTCTATTGTGGGACTCTTCAGAAATATGCATTCACAATCTCACCTCACAAGATTCAAACCCGGGACCTATTAGTCTCGTGCGTGAACTTTTAACATATAGACCACTGAGTCAGCATCCAACGGTGTCAATGTCCAGTGAAAAGCAATGACCAATGGAGTTCAACCGGGTTTGTTGTAAGATAGTAACTCACTGAAAAGAATGATGGACGGTGGTTCAATTTCGTGGATTGGTTGGAGTTCAAGTTAACAACGTTGAATATCTGCTCAGTAGTCTATAAGTTAAGAGTTCGCGCGTAAGACCGAAAGGTCTCGGATTTTGACGCAAAATTCACTCATCCATTTAGCTAAATAGAGTTTTGGCATTATAACTGTTATCAGTTCGTAATGAAAACCCTCAGTCTAATTTCTAACCTTAATCATCAACTGTAAATCATAATCACAATTCCCTATACTTGTTTATAACCCTCATTTGGTCCTAGCTATTAGGTGAACACTCTCAAGGTCACTTTAGCATCGTCCATAAATTATAGTCTCACCGAGAAATGAATACATTTCATATCATAAAAGTGACGATCAATTATTTAGTAAAGAAAATATATCGATCATGACTGAGAAAAAACAAACAAACAAACAGTATTTTGTTTGTATCCATTCTATTGAGACTTGAAACGAGTTCAACTTACTAAAGTTAACTTAATCATAAATGTATGATTTTTATTATTATTATTAACTAACTAAATAAATGTGGAAATATTTTAATATTGTGTGTTTTCACATTTCAGTAATTCTAGATGGACAATTGAGTTTACATTTGTATGGTTGTGTTAATTTGAACACTGAATAAACATATAAAATACCGGTGTATATTATCTAAATATAGAGGAAACTTTATTATTATTATTATATACCGTAATAATAATAATAATAATAGAAATTATTCTTAAAAAAGGTTGTTTAAACATTGTCCCATTTTCTAACCAAAATGATCATTCTAATTTGTATCATGTTTATTTAGTAAAATTCATATGTTAAATATGTTAAGTCTTGCTGATTAGACGCTATATTCGTTCCTAAGCTATTCTGATAACCCACACGTTAGAACCATACAGCGACCTGAACACCAGAAAGAAGACAAAAAGTATGAGAGAGACACTTTACTCCAAGGTTCGCTATTGTACAGAAAACATGAGTATTTATAGATGTTAACGTTTGTTAAATCAACATCATAGTTCAGCCAATCCGTTAACGACATATTATGCTACTGACCAATAGTAGCACGCCACATTGGAATTCTAGAATGCTCCATCATGCTCTTATTGGCTAGGACTCTTCGACTGGTTTTGGGCCTCTAGAGGCTCCGTTGAAGTTCTCCGAAAGCCGACTCAACAAAATAATTAATGAAAAGGAGTTATTTCCAATTTTTTGAAGTTGTAGAGATTGTTAAAGTTGTTTTATTGAATTTATGAATTTATTAATTAAAGAGTAATATTTTAAAATCTGGAAGTACTGGTCGGTTGTTTTGTCCTTAATAATGCTCATCCACAAACTTACATTTAGGATTTGAAGCTAGATGCTTTAATCACACTCATAAACGCTTAATCTCTAGACAATTGAGCCAACATCTAACGATGTTAATGTCTATAACTTCAATTAACTCATGATCTTGCACAAAGTTTCATCTATTGTTCGCTGTGAATATCTGTCTCATAACTGACACAGACTGAATTCTACTAGTCACAGTTTCTCAGTAGAATTCTAAGAGATTTCTCTCAAAGCTAATCACTAGTGAGCACATAATTATTATCAGAATTATTTATTTATTGTTTTTGCAGTTTAAATATCCCCATAGAATATTCAAAAAATGAAGAATATTTGAGCGAACAATTGTTTTCAATAACTTGATCATCATGCTCTACAGTTATAAGTTCATAATTATTGTGATCTTTTACAAAGGCTAAAACAAGGCATATATTAATGTATATAACAACGGTACATGTTAAAAATGGTGAACGTTTGCATCTGTTACGACATATATACTTCAAAAATGTGTTGTTTGCAAATTAGAACGGGCATTTACTAAAGGTTATAATGAATTGGAGTAAAGTGTCCAGTCATAATCAGTAGAATAGTATTATAGCAAAATTGGAATTTTCAAAGGTTGAGA